AAATTCCTAACAAATTTCTAACTTAAAGTGGAAAAAAAGAAAGTTTTAGAGCCAAAACTGAAGTGTATTTGATTTCATGATCATCCAAACAAAAAAATAAAAATAAGACAGGAAAGTCCTATGACACATACAGCTATTATCCAGCCAGAGTGCTTTCATGCCCGGTCAGAATACACAAATCACACATATCGGCAGCTGATGAAGCTTCTCTTCGCTTCAGGACTACCAATCTGAAAATTTTGGTATTTGCTCCTTGAACAGTAAAAAAGTTAATCTCTTCGACAGGCAAAACCTCAATTTTCAAAAGTTTATAAATGAATTCCTGTAGGAGGTGACATTTTTGATTTAAAATTCGAAAAAAAAAACCCGGAATTGGTACCCGAGCTGAATTAAAATCTTATTTTAGAAGAACCCAGTGCAACTAGATAAATTCGCATTATCTTCTGAATAATCTAACAAATGAAGGAAAAAGAAATGTGACGCGCCGTGATCACACGATGGTCGCGTAACAACTAAATTATGCTATTTTTCTCGCTTCCAATTTAAAATTATGCATTTTATGCAACTTGTGAGGATCAAAGGCCAGTTGCGGAATGACAAAGGCGCAGTGAAATCAACGGGAAGACTAACGGTGCCGACGGATCAAACGCCGAATGCACGAAAGACCTGTAGCGAAATATCTGCGGATAACGGCTGCCGCTAGCTGCCTTACTCATACCAGTAATTCTTTTGGAAATAAATCAAAAGATCGAAAACTTACTTGTCACTCCCAACAACTTGATAAATGTTATTAATATCGTTGATATCCTGGGTAATTGAGCCATCAACAAATGCACGACCCTAGAAACCATCTTCTTTTTTTTTAAATTCAATTCAGTTCTCTATTCAAAAATTACTTCCACGGCCGTTTGCAAGTTCCACGCTCTTGCTGAACTACATCAAATGAAAAATAGAGGCCCTTGGAAAATGGCCAAAATACTTACTTATAAAGAATCACAGCAAATAAAAATACCTGAACACCATGTGGATGAAAGCCCAGGATTGAATCGGAAAGTGAAACGAGATATTCAATTTGAAAACCAAATTTGAATTGCGCTGGTGAGAGACGTGATGATTTCACAACTCCTTCCTGATTTATCACAACACAACGATTTTCATAACACAGCAGTAATGCATCCTGAACAATGTTAGTGCATAAATCCACAAAATTATCGCAATAAAAAAAATTGGCCAACGCACGGGCTGCCCGTGCGAAGGTGCGTTTTTGCAGAGTTCCCCGCAGTTTTTGTCGCTAACGGCATCGGTCTTTTCGGCAGATGCTTCTAGTTGAAAGAATTTCAGACTGGCCGCCAGAACTGTCA